GCACTTATACACTACACACATATATAACCTATCTTCTATGCACTAATCCACTATTAAGCACATACACTAGACACTTATTAAATATTGTCTTATTTTCAGAAATATTTAGCCAAAATTATGTGTTTTTCCTTAAGGTTTGACTTTGAAATCATTTTATTTCACTTCCCCTAATATTTACTTATTTTAATGAAAACACTTCATTTGACTCATTTCTGAAAACAACACCATATCTTTGCTTGTCAAGAAAATGCTTCTTGATTTGTAGACATCTTCAAGACTGATGCTGTCTCGTTCTGTCATTAATATAATCTGATTTTACACACTCACCATCTTGTATCCAGCTCTCACATTACGAGCCTGATGCCTCAGCTTACTGCAAACACACACAACACACACACAAACACACAGAACACACACACAAACACAAACACACACACACACAAACACACAGAACACACACACACAAACACACAGAACACACACACACACACACACACACAAACACACAGAACACACACACAAACACACAGAACACACACACACAAACACACAGAACACACACACACAAACACACAGAACACACACACAAACACACAGAACACATACACACCTCATGAAAAAAGTTGTCATTTTAATTTGCTTTAAATCAAAGTAAATAAAAGTCATATTGAAGAGCAGAGCTTAAACAAAGCCACAAAACCAACTGAAACTGGCATGTTTAGCTAATTATATCTGAACAGTTATTGTCATATTTTGTGCTGGACTAATCAGAAAACACACTTACAGAACTAAATACTGAAAAAAGTGACAAGAAATCAAGCAGAAAAAAAATCTGAAAAGATGTTTGTGCCAAAGACTATTGACAACACTCATGTTTTTTTATTCTTTTAAAAGTTTTGGGTTTTCTCAAAACTTGTAATTTTTTGCTTCATTGCTTGTGTTTTGCTGTGAAAGTACACACAAATCATTTTTAAATATATATATATATTTAAGAACAGGAAACTTTGACAGTATTTCTGAAAACAACACAATATTTTCTGCGTGTCTAAAAAATGAAACATAACAATAAATAATAATAAGTAATAATAGTAATAATAAATAATAAATAATAATAAATAATAAGTACGTTTTTCCTTAAAACAAACAAAAAAAAATATCTGCCAATGGGAAAAGTCAAATAATCTGTTTTCGATTTGAAATAAGTTTAGTTTCTTACCCCATTGTCAGATTATTTTGTTTGTTTTAAGGAAAATCTCACTTCATTTTGACTCTGAAAGCAACATTTACTATCTGAAACCACACAATATGTTTTGTTTGTCTCAAAAATGCATCTTGATTTAAGAGCTTGCAGATATTTGGACTAGAAACAAGACAAAAACTCTAAATAAGGCATTATTTGCAGTGTGGGAAGTTTTGGATCTGTGGCTCAGACAGTGAAGCAGCCTGTGGTAAAAATAGCAGCGTGAACAAAAGCGCAGAGATATGATCTGCTGGAGGATTGTTGCAGTGGGAAACACGTGAGGTCAGAGGAAGTGTTTTATTTACAGCCGATCGACCGTCACCTGATGAAGAAACAGCAGAAGATCAGGCTGAGGATCAAGATGAAGAGTCCCAAACCCAAGAGCACCACGTATGTGTTCAGCGGCAGCTCCTGAGCCGTGACCGGAGGCATGACGGAGAAACACACGGAACACACACACCCTGAAGAACAGAGAATAACACTGTCACACACACACACACACAGCTCTGAACGCATCATGGTTATTTTAGTAAACTAAAAATATCAGTGGGGAAAAATTGTTAAATAAAACAAAATGTAAAATATTAGAATAAATAAAAAATAATAATACAAAAGGAAAAAAAAAATAACAGTACTGAAAAAACAAACTGAAATAAAGAAGGAAGATGCATAAAAAATATTGGTTTTCAGTATTGGTAAGCAGTCATTCTGTGGCGCAAAATCTGAGCTGCTGCAGTTTAGAGAAAGAACAGTAGATGGCGCCAAACACATCAGTCTAGAGCAGATTATATACTCTTTTACATGTTTCACTTAGCTAAACGGCAGTAAAAACGATTAGGTTTTGACAAAAAATATCTCGAAAAACAATAAATGTGAGCAAAAAATGTCACGTGCCTTAAAAGTAAATGAAACAGTCATTCTGTGGTGTAAAATCTGAGCTGCTGCAGTTTACAGAAATAATAGTATATGGCGCCAAACAACTACTTTATGCAACTACTTACTGTAACTTCTCTGATTTGGACAGTAATGTAGTAATAAAGTGCACGTTTTGTAAAGCTGTTTTAGAATGACAGTTATTGTGGAAAGCATATACAAATAAATGTAAACGAAACTAACGACAGTTAGGGTTCGCACATACTGGGACAGTTTTTGCTCATGCTTTTTTCGCCAACATTTAACATATCACTAAACAAAAGGCTATCAAAGTGTACATACACACTACCGTGAAAAACTGCAGAGGTTAAAATGTCAATTAAAAAAAACACAGGCTATTTTTTTTGTTTTGACACAACAAAAAGTAGAGGAAATATTATTTAATGATGAGTTTAATTTTTTTATTTTCAAGTTCATCAAGCGCCATTGTTAATACTTAACAAAGCTGATGAAAGTCACTGAAAAACTAACTGAAATTAAAATTAAAATTAGCAAAAATAACCGTTTTCAGAATTAACAAGCACTCATATTGTGTAAAATCGGAGCTGTGGATGATTAGAGAAAGAACAGTAGATGGCACCAAATCCAGCAGTCCAGAGCAGATTATAAACTATTTAACATCTTTCACAGTGATTAACGGTGGTGAAAAATCAGTTGG